GGGGGGGGGGCAACGGGGAGCTGAGAGGTGGGGTTTGTGACACAGCTGTAGTTGTTCTGTCATCTTTGAGGGAGAAGGACGGGAGACAAGAGAGGTCTGTGGGAGCAAAGCTGCGGAAATCCTGCCAGAAAATGCTGCTGAGCTCCAGATACAGCAGGAGAGATGGAGGTGAGACTCTAGAAGGTGCACCTGAACGAGTCGGGAGGGAGTTGACCTGGGGGTGGGCGTGGGATTTCCTGCGGGAGGAATAATTTGGGAGGAGCAGAGGAGGCGGATGAAATGCCCCCATCCCCCACCCCCGCATCTCTGCGCGTCTGAGTACCCGATGTCCTCAAAACCTGTAGACTCCACAGCCTGTCGTCCCCTCCTCTGACCCCCAGCCCCTCTTACAGCCTCTCAGTTCGTCCCTCAGCTCTGTCCCTATTCCATTCCCCAGAGATGTCCCTCAGCCCCACCCGACTGCGGTCACAGAGCATGACCTTGTGCGCTGGAAGTTCTTCCTGCAGTCTAATCCCCCACCCGCTTCAGGCCAGGTGGGTGGATTCCTGTCTGTGCTTGGGGTGGAGTGTCTGACCCCCTGCAGAAGTGAGGCCCCTCACGACACCACGGAAGACCTGGACACAGCGACCCAGGCTCTGAGGTTGTGTTCCTTTTAGCATTTATTTTTCTCTGGCAGACGAGAACTGGGGAGAGAACAGCCATTGTGGTCTCAATAACCAGAAGCTGCACATTAAACACAAACACCACGCCATCATCAGTAGGACACCTGCCACCAGTTACCTGTGAGGGCAAGTGTGGAAACCTTTCCACCGTCCTGCTGCCTGCAGGAGGGGCTTCTCGGCAGCCGTGGGGCTTCTGGGGGCGGGGGAGCTGGGGTGTGAAGCCCTGGACAGGGCACAAGGCAGAGAGCACCGTGGAGACCTGTCCTCTGCAGAGGCCAGCAGCGCCTCTTCCGGCTGGAACAGAATGGAACAGAATCCCGTTGTCTGGCTTTGGAATGCATGATACAGTATTCTGGCTTTGATGAAACCAGCTCTACTTCAGTCTCTTCCACTTAGTAGTCACAGGACCTGGGTAACAGGCAGTTGCAGGAACCTTACTTATCCGTAAATTGCAGATAACAACACCTAGTTTGGAGGATAGTTGTTGGGTTTTGAAATATCAGACGTAGGGTGTTTAGCACATAGTGGGTCTTTAAGAAATGGTACTGCGTAGTGTTACCATCTCAGGGGGCAGAACTGTCTGCGTCCCCTGAGCTATCCTGACTTTATTACACCCCCAGGGGTTTGCCCAGAAACCCAGCATGGGGCTGAGGGCACCTAACACCTCCTCCTTGTCCTACCTCCTTCCTTGCTCTGAGGAATGAAGAAGCACATTTATAGTTTTCTATTACTTTTGAAGCTTTTAAATTTGGGGACTGGTCAGTGTTTTGTGAGTTACCCAAGTTTAAAATAATAATGCATGTCCATATGCCTGTTCTTCCCAGTTGGCTGAGGAATGGGTGTTTGCCATGTCTGGCTTTCATGTAACCCTAGAGACAGAACCCTTGCCCCTTCTCTTTTCTCTTTCCCCACCCAGCAGAGACAACCGGCAGCCCCACTTACAGCTCCTTCTGAGAAATCTGCTCTTCCTATCAGCCTGGAGGTGTCTGTGGGGAGACAGGGAAATGAGGTGGGGACAGTCTAGAGAGGGCAAGCAAGAAACCCAGGACGGTGCAGCGGGGTGAAGATCTGAAATGCCATGGGCTAGCAGGAGCTGGATTTGTCTCTGCTCTTAGTGGACCAGGAAGGTGGAAAACACCGAGAGATGCCTTCTCTGTTTCTCTGAGGTAACCATCTAGCTCAGCACAAATATCATTTACAATGCTTAGTAGTCATCAGCTGGGGAGGCCGGCAGCAGGCAGGAAAGGGGTCAGACATCCAGACAAGCTGAGTGCTCTGGAGGGGGAGGAGGAAGGAGAGGGAGGAAGGGAGGGGCCTGGGGAGGGGAGGAAGGGGAGGGGGAGGCAGGAGTAGAGGGGGAGGAGGAGGAGGAAGGAAGGAAGGGAGGGAGGGAGGGAGGGGGAGGAGGGGACGAAGCAAGGAGGAGGGAAGAGGGAGGAGGGGGAGGGGAGGAGGGGGGAGGAGGAGCTTCTGCTGCTCTCAGGGAAGTTGCTAGAGCCTCCCTCCTCTGGCTCCCTGCTGACACAGCCTCTGAATCCCGACAGGACGACAGGATGACAGGACAACGGTCTCTCTCTCTTAGGACCTGGTGCAGCGGCCTACGTTCTGGGATGACCCTTTGCTTCTCAAGTCCCACCTGGGCCAGAAGATGAGAGGATGGCCTCACGGGTCTTCCAGACCATTCGTTCCATGTTCCAATTTCTAATTTAAGTTCATGCTGAGTACTAGTGCAGAACAGTGAGCTGAGGTGGAGCTAGAGGGAAGGAAACGTGACTGTGAACGTTTCAGATGAGTTACTCTGTGCTCTGCTTCAGTGTCAGGTTATTTATTCATGTTTTCCCGTTGCCTTCGAGGACCTAACTACCTAACACTTAACATTCAAGTATGTAGCAGTCACATTTCCAGAAGGCTTTTCACTTCATAATCTGCTTTCACATGGAGCTTTCCTTTGATCCACAGAAAACTCCGGCAAAGATGTTGGGTGGGCTTGCAGTGTCCTCACTGTCTACCTGGGGACTCCCTCTCTAGTTAGTAGGCGACTGAGAGAGCAGAGCTGGGCCTCGAAGACGGTATTTCTCATTCTACAACCAGCGCCAGGTCCCCAGGTGGAGGAGCCCAAGCAGCCCACCCACTCCAGGCATACAAGGCTGGATGGGGAAGGAGCCAAGCGCCACACTGGTGGGGGGGGCATGAACACCCCTTGAGCCATGAGGCCACCATTCTCTGCGTTCCCCCCAGGCTGCCACTCCCCCACGCCGGCCTGCTCTGGGGCTCTGTTTCTGTGTTCTGGGGCCTCTCCCTAAGTGGTCAGGGGGATGAGGGAGTGCACAGAAGGTGTTTCTGGCCCCAAGCCCACGGGACAGACAGACCCACAGCTGAGTTTCTTCTACGGTGAAGACCTTGACCCTCTTCAGCTTCCCTTGTGCTGCAAGACCTGGATCCAAGGGCGCCCGGGTGGCTCAGTGAGTTGAGCAGCTGACACTTGGTTTCAGCCCAGGTCATGGTCTCAGGGCCCTGGGATCGAGTCCCGCATCAGGCTCCCTGCTCAGCGAGGAGTCTGCTTGAGATTCTCTCCCCCTGCCCTGCCTCCCCCTCTGCTCTTCCCCTTGTTCTCCTGCACTGTCTCTCTCTCAAATAAATAAATAAATCTTAAAAGAGAAAAGAGGCCTCAATCCAAATGAAACTGCCCCTGTGGGGAGAGACTTTGGGAAGCTGTGCCTGGAGCTCTCCCTCAGGATGGTGGGGAGGCTCACCAGGGGAGTCCCAGTGTCATGATCGTTAGACCCCCTTTGTTGCTCAGGCTGGGGCTGGGGTGTGATGGGGCAGGAGACATCTGCAGCCCCAGTGACCTGCAAGACAGGAATGTAAATTATAACTGATACATTATGGCTAATATTCGGAGGGTGCTTTGGGAGCATCAAAGAACTTCCACAGACTTGCCCTGATTTATCGTAGCAGCATCTCTGAGAGGTACGTTGTGTTTGCCACCTGTGAAGGGTGAGGCACTTGAGCCGCAGAGAGGGAGAGTGAGTCCTCGAAGATCATGCAGTAAACTCAGGAGTCTGACCTTGAGCCCAGACCTTCGGACTCAAAACTCTATGTTCTTCCCGTTCTCCATGATGCCTTGATTTCAATAGCCATCAATTGCTGGAGCCCCTGGTGAACTGCCTACTCACGGGCAAGGATGGGGGCGATGGGGTGCGGGGCCAGAGCGAGGAGGTGACCATCCCCAGGGCCTCCCGGAGCTCCTGGTTGGGTGGGGGGTCAGGGAAGGACTCCCCTGGTAACAACGGAAGCTTCTGTCAAATTCTGTGGTAGAATTTGTGGGTCCTTGGGCTCAGCACACAGCAGAGGAGCTCCCCGTTGTGCTCACAGAGCCTCTTCCTTTCTGGGTGCATGTCCGAGGGCTCCAGGGCTCGGACCGTCTCCCGCAGGTTCACCATCAGCCAGGTGGGCCTGAGTGTCTTCCTCCCCACGGAGCCGTTGCCCAGGGGACACTTGAGAGTACGGTCGGATGCTTCCCACTCGGGTGACGCATCTGAGGGAGACGTGGGGCCCACGGTTGGCGGTGACAGGGTCCTGCAGAATATCCACGCCGGCGGGACAGTTTCCTGGCCGAGACTGGGCAGAGGGCTGCCCCCGGCTGCAGTGGACGCTGGCTCTGGGAAGGGAGAAGGACATGGAGGAAGGAGGACGCAGAGGCCGAAGAGGAGCAGGGAGGAAGCAAAAGGAGGGAGAGGGAGAAATCAAAGGAGCAATAGAAAAGAGTAAACATTAGGGCGCCTGGGTGGCTCAGTTGGTTAAGCGACTGCCTTCGGCTCAGGTCATGATCCTGGAGTCCCGGGATCGAGTCCCGCATCGGG